AAAAATTTTTTACGACGTTACGACAATCGTACAAAATTCGAAAACGTCAAAGTAACCTGGATACGGCACTGATTCAAATATATATATATATATATATATATAATTTTTTTTTTTTTTTTTAAATTCGACAACAGACGATTAAATATTTTGATTGGTAATTTGGTGAAACATTTTCGCGCTTTTTTAGAAAACACAGAAATAAAATTTAACGGATCATCATCATCATCATCATCATCATCATCATCATCATCATCATCATCATCATCATCATCATCATCATCATCATCATCATCATCATCATCATCATCATCATCATTATTATTATTATTAATTTTCTTTTCTTTCTCCAACTTTTTGCAAAATCAATGATATATATTATTATTATTATTATTATTATTTTTATTATGATTGATGATTTTCAGTTCGAGTTTTTTTTTTTTCTTTCTCCTCCTTTTATTTTCATCATTCCACTTCCAGCAAAAACCAAAAAAAGAAAAAAAAATGAAAACTAGAAAAAAAAATATATATATACGTATGTGGAAAAAAGAAAGAGAGAGAGAGAGAAAAGAAAAGCCGAATAAGAAAATTTTTTCCAAGTCCCATTCACATAAATTTAATTTCACGAGTTTTTCTATTTTCCATCGATTTCAAATTTTTCAATTTTTTCCCTCCCCCTTCTCCCATTTGCCTCCCGCCTCTTCTTCCCCTCTTTTTCTTCCTCCTTTCTCTCATTCCTTTTCCTCCTTCATCCCTTCTATATATTCCCTTTTATCCCGTTTGTTTTTTTTTCTCCTTTTTCCTTTTTCTTTTTTTCTTTTCTTTTTTTTCTTAATTATTATTATTATTATTATTATTATTGAAAATCTATAGAAATAAATTTTAGTATAGAAAAAAAAAATTTACGCACACGCATTCACGCAATATATTAATAAAAATGATGATAATAACTATAACATAAAAAAATTAAAACAAAAATCGATTCGATCGTCGCCCTGATGATGATGACGATGATGATGGAAATCGATGATGAACGAGATGAGAGGCGAAGGGGGAGCGAGAGGTAGAGTGAGTGTGGTGCGGGAGTAGGGGAGGGAAGGGGAAAGAGAAACGACAAGAAAAAAATTCGAAAAAAAATAAAAAGAAAAATTTTTTCACGTATCATTATCAAACGCAAACGCAAATAACTTTTAATTTTTTCTTCCTTTTTTTATTTTTTTATTTTTTTTTATTTTGTTTTTTAATAATAAATTTAATTAATAGAAGTTTCTAGATAATTTTATTTTTTTATTTATTTTCATTTTTAATGATTGAATCCTTTAGTTATTTGCCCTCAAGACAGAATTAAAAATAATAATAAAATTTTATTAAAAAAAAAAAAAACTCGACACGTAAATAATTAAATAAATGAATTTCAATGTTAATAAGTCAATTTTAATCGCATGAAAAATAACAATAATAATAATAATAATAATAATAATAATAATGATGATAATAATAATAATAATAATAATAATAATAATATAACATTAATAATGATAATGATAATAATAATAATAATAACCGGAAGGCAAATCTTTTTTATAACCTTTTTTTTTTTATTTAAAAAAAAAAAAATTAATTATTTTTATTTTTTTAATTGATGACGTCATTAATTATCAATAATCAATCGATTAAAAAAAAACGTTCGTTTTGATTAATCAACTCCTTCGAAGCCTTTCAAAAATTTTATCTATTTACAACAACTCCCCCCCCCAAAAAAAAAAAGAATAATAATAAAAGAAAAATCTAGTTATTTATTGTAAAAAAAACGTGTGCGTGTACGCGTGCGGGTGTTTTTGTACGTTCGGTGGTTAGGACACGAACGCAAATTCATTTAACAAAAAAAAAAACCCTCCCCTCCTCCACCATCATTAATTTCAGGTTTAAAAAAGTCATTTGTCATCGATTACGACGAAAAATATTTTAAATATTTTTTAATTTTTTTTTTCTCTCTCTCTCTCTCTCTCTCTTTCTGCGCATCCATCGTGTCATTAGACTCTTCTCGACATGAGGCGATCAGGTACGAAAGAAAAAAAAAAAATTTTTTTATTTTAAAACTTCGTCGTCGTCGTCGTCCAACAAGCGAAATTTGAACGTTTTATCATCATGATTATTATTGCATTTTTTTTTTTAAATTTAAATTAATCTTATTCGTTTAAAAAAATAAATAATGATAATAATAATTTTTCGTTTTCCCGCGAAAATACTAATGATCATGATAGTATAATAATTTTTACACATGATCATTTTCCTTTCGTGTCACGTGCCGTCGCCATCTTTTCTTTTTCGTAATTCTACTTTACGTAAAATTTTTATTTAATTCATTTTTGAAGAAAATGCAAAAAATTAATTTATTAAAATTATTTCTTACAAAAATAATAATAATAATAATAATAATAATAATAATAATAATAATAGTAATAATAACGTAAGATCGATCAAGAAAAAGCAGAAGACAAAAAATAAAAAACGTGACGTCAAACAACGTTAAACGACGACGACGACCGTGATGATGATTTTTACATAAATTTTCAAATAATTTACGAAAAATTTTTGTAAATTAATAATAATAATAATGATGATGATAATGATAAATTATTATTATTTCTTTAATGAATTTAAAAAGAGAAAAAAAAAAAGAAAGAAAAGTTAATTAAACAATAATAATCAATATTTTCGAATTTTCCCCCTTCCCCTCTCCTCTTCCAATATCGATTTAATAATGATGATGTTAATAATAATAATAAAAGTAAATTTTTTTTATAAAAAAATTTTCCACACTTTTTCTTAGTAATTTTTTCTTTTTACTCTCAATTTTTCGTATTTCGTTTCCTTTCGGTTTCTTTTTTTGTGTGTGTAGATCCGTGTCGAAATGCGGGAGGAGTGGGTGCGCGTGTGCGCGTGCACCCATTATAATTCCACATGAGCAATAAACGAAGCCGTGCAAATTAGTTTCCCTGAGAGAAATTATTATTATTATTATTATTATTATTATACCTGCTCTTCCTCCACTTGAGAGTTATTTATGACCAATTTTTTATAATATTTAATGGCATTGTGTTTGGTATTTTTTTTTCTTTTTTTTTTTTTTGCTCTTGTTGTTACGTTTGGGTGTTTTATGGATGTTTTTTCATACGTCCAACCGTCCGTCCATCCGTCCATCCGTTCGTTCGCATGTTGTCCGCATGTCCGCATGTCCGTTTTTTCGCATTGCGAATCCCTGACACTATTTGCCTCCGTCTCGACTTTTCATCATTTTTCATCATTCTCTTTTTTTTTATTTCTTCATTTCGTCGTCTGCCACTATTATCTTTTATCTTTTTCTAATTTTATCTCTTTTCTTCCTACCTTACATTCTTTTTTTTTCCTTTCATCAATCTAAACAACAACAATCACCATCATCATCATCACCGAACCCATCTTCCTACGCTCATTAACCTGAGCCTCGGGGATAACTTGACCGTTTTTCCCCTTTTTTTTCTATTAAATTGATTCTTTTATAATTGGAAGTAAACGTTTTTATTTTATTTTATTTTTTTATTTTTTCCAATGAATAATTTTTTTTTTAAACGAGAGTCGTCGTAATCCTGTTTAATTTTATCCCTTTATCACCTCATTTTATTATTATCATCATCATTATTATTATTATTATTATTTTTTTTTTAATAAAATTAATTTGCCACAACGACGTTCGTTGTTGTGTCGTGTATACTTATTTTCTTATTTTCTCATTTTCCTCTTATTCTTCTTCTTTTTCTTTCTGCTACCATAAAATTATTTATAAACGGAGTTTCGTAAAAACAAAATGGCGTCCATTACCTATCCCCCATCAAAGTTTTTCAATTAAAATTAAAAAAAAATTTTTTTTTTATTTTTATTTTAACTCATCAACAAGAATGACGACGTCGAAGTTAAAATTTAATAATTTAGTCGTTATTTTTTCTTCTCTCTCTCTCCCCTCCCCTCTCTCCCTCTCTCTTTTTATTTTTAGCAAAGATTTTATTGAATTTTTATATATATATATATATCAAAAGAAAATCTTTTAGATTTCATTTAAAAACCAATTTTAATATAAATAAAGAAAATTTATATTTACATGAAAATTTAATTTGCGAATCAATTCCAGAAATTTCTCCCACTCTTCCTCTCTCTCGAAAAAAAAACAAAAAACTTTCACTTTAAAATAAAAAAAAAGGAAGATGGAGAAGAAGAAGAAGAAAAAAAAAAAACAATCAAAGAACAAGGAATTGCTGAACCGTGAAATTAGGCAAAATTGTCGCTCTCTCTCTCTCTAAAAAAAAAAAATTCCATCCAGAATTTTATTTTATTCCAGAATGATAAAAAGAAAAGTGTTTGTTTTGCGTGTGTGTGAGAGAGAGAGAGAGTAAACCTTGAATTCTCTCATTTTATTTTCCCCTCCATTAAAACTTTGATTCCTTAAGAATAAAAAAAAATTTTTTCTCTTTCTTTTTTTTAATGGCGACACATCGAACTACACTAAATTATATTCGGTGCCAGAACTTAAAATGCGTTAAAGAAAATAAATAAAATAAAATAAAATAGAAAAGGAAAGGGAAGAGAGAAGGGAAGGAAAGGAACGAGAGAAGGACACGAATGAAGAGAAGGAGGGAGGAGGAGAGGTGGAAGGAGGGGAGGTCTGAAGGAAGGATTTAAAATGAAATGCCTCTGCATTATAATGAGAAAAATGTGAAGAGCCTTTTTTTTTTTTAGAAAAAGGGAAAAAGGGAAAATTCTAGAAAGAAAAAAAAAAAACTTTAACCTCGTTTTATCGTCTGCAAAGGAGGGTAAAATAAAAAAAAAAATAAACAATAAACTTCGATTTCGTAATGGGTAATTTTTTTTTTTTTTTCGCGCGAGGAAAGAGAAGGTAGAAAAAAGAAAAAAACTTTTCCAGTAATTAATTCCAGAAAAAAAAAAAAAGAAAATTTATTGATTGAGACTCACCCGTTGATTGATGTTCTCGTCATGAAAATGTTGAGTATTGCCGTAACCAAACAATGCCAGACTTGTGTAAATATCCATGATGATTTATTTGCGCTTTGATTAACAAATTCTTCCGTTTCTTCATCCACGTAAAATTGTAAAAATGATTTCTTTAAATCCGGATTAACTTGACTAGAATCTATCGTATACCACTAGAAAAAAAAATGGAAAAATTATTTCAACGGGAAAATTTAAAAGTCGCGACAAGGGTCGTGAGTTCGAATCGTCACATGGAAGAACAAAATTTTTTTTTTCTCCCGAGATCCCCCTTTTTTACGTGGGTGGAGGTAGGGGTGGGAGGAAGGGTATAAAACTCTTACGTAAAAGTAAAAAAATAAAAAACAAAAAATCTTTTTTTTATATCATTTTCAATTTTTCTTTTTAATATTAGTAAAAAACTAATTCAATAGGCCAATGATTTCTTGTTTTTTTTTTCTTTTTTTCTTTCGTAGCCGCAAATTAAAAGTGCCCCGAGGAACGTCATTGAAAAAACTATGAGAAACAATTTTTAATATCGTTTTCTTTTAAACGACCGCAAAAAAAAAAAAAAAATTAAACATAAAAATATAACGACTCGTACGTAACATTTGCCATTTTGTTATGACGAAATAAATTTTTAATCTGGTTACAAATCCGACCCGTGTACGAAAAATTTGATAATAAAACGACGGAAAACAAAAAAAAAAAAATTATCACGATATATATATATATATATATATATTTTTATCGATATATCGATCGATACTCGTTATTATCGTATCGAATCGTTTTTTTTTTCAAAAGTATTTAATTAAACGAAATGAGCGAAAAGATGACGACGCAAAATCTTATTTAAAAACACAAAAAAAAACCATCGCGCTCATCATCATCATCATCATCATTATCATCTTCATAATCATCATCATCATCATCATCGTCACTTTAAATTGTAACAAAATGAAGAGAAAAAAAAAGAAAAAAAAAATTTTATGTTCGAATGTATTCGACGTCGCACATGTGCTACGAAGACGACGACGACGACGTTTAAGACGAACGTAAAAAAAAACTATTATTATTATTATCATCATCATTATTATTAATAATAAAATGGCGAAGAATCAAATAAATAGAAAAAAAGAAAACACAATTAAAAGCCAATAAATAAAATCAAGTTATGTTATGAAACACGTTTCAAGTGTGTATAACATGTAAACGAGGCGTCAAATTGAAGAGTTTGCCCCAAAGGGATTTTTTTTTTTTTTCAAATTTCAATCCCGTAAGCTAATAATAAAAAATCAATGGGAATACATTGTGTTTTTAACACAGACGGAAAGGAGCCGAGGCAAAAACGTTGAAAAACATAGTGAGAGAGAGAGAGAGAGAATACACACATACACTCCACGATGGAATTTTAAATGATTTTTTTTTTTATTACGAAGTGATTCTGTTATAGAATTACGAAGACCATCATCATCATCATCATCATCATCATCATCATCATCATCATCATCATCATCATCATCATCATCATCATCATCATCATCATCATCATCATCATCATCATCATCATCATCATCATCATCATCATCATCATCATCATCATCATCATCATCATCATCATCATCATCATCATCATCATCATCATCATCATCATCATCATCATCATCATCATCATCATCATCATCATCATCATCATCATCATCATCATCATCATCATCATCATCATCATCATCATCATCATCATCATCATCATCATCATCATCATCATCATCATCATCATCATCATCATCATCATCATCATCATCATCATCATCATCATCATCATCATCATCATCATCATCATCATCATCATCATCATCATCATCATCATCATCATCATCATCATCATCATCATCATCATCATCATCATCATCATCATCATCATCGTCTTCGTCGTCGTCGTCGCACCTTTTAAAAAAAAAAAAAAATCTACAACCACGACGAGTGCGAAACGACCGAGAAAATTCAAAGGAAAATAATAATAATATGCTGAACACTTTCGCGGGTTTTTTTTTTTTTCGCATTTGACGAATCAATTTTGCGACGGAAGTGACGTCATTATTTAACCAATTAACTCTTTTCTAGGTATTTTTTTTTTTTATTCATTCGCTGAATTTCTCAAACTCGATTTTTCTCTCTCTCTCTCTCTCTCTTTGATGATTGATTGCGGGTAGGGCGAGGGAGATGGGGAGGAAAGGGGGAGGGGTTACCGAGGTCCGTCGCAATTTTAAATATGACAATAGTAACGACCAATTAAATCTAAATATAAAATTACGGTTGTTGACTAACAATTTCTTTTTTTTTAATTTTTAAAAAGTTAGAAGAAGGAGGCGTAGAGAAAATAAAGGTCGAATTCCAACTAATAAAAAAAAAAGAAAATTATTATTTGTTGCAATTATTACAAACAACCTTAATTTGCTTGCTAATTACGTAAGGAATTTTTTTTTTTTGTAAATTTTCAGTCTTGAAAATCACCATTTTACTTCGTTTACGCACACCAACAAACGATTAACGACCAGAGAGAGAGAGAAAGACAAAAAGAAATGGAAGAAATTAATTATGTTAAAATAAGCATTTTCGAACGTTATGAATTCGTCAATGAAAACCATAAAAGAATAAGATGTAGAAAAAGTGAGAGAAAAAGCGAACGGGAAGGAAAAAAAGAGAAAGAGAGAGAGAAAGAGAGAGAGAGATAGAGAGTAAAAATCACCGTGTAAAACGATCTAAACTATTGTCCAAATTATTTATTTATTTATTTTTTCGTTTCTACCTTTCTTTTTCTTTTAAATACTTCCGCGGTGAATTTTTTTTTTTTTTAAATTCTCCAGCTCTTTTATTATTTTTGTAAACGACAAACGATTGCAATCGTGACAAACCTTAAAAATCGCCAAGGAATTCGTTCATTACGAAAAGTATTATCATTGTTAAAAATAATAATAATAATAATAAACAATTACTCGTTTTTTTTTTTTTTTATAAACATTTAAACGAATTCGTAACCATTCATAAAAAAAAAGAAAAAAACTTTCAAACAATTCAATAATAACAACCCGATTGTTGGATTGTTTTGACCCAAACGACTCCAGTCGATTTACTCAAAATTTAAAAAAAAAAATTTCCTAAAAAAAAAAACCCGAACGTGAATAATTACTACTAAGAGACCTTATTATCATTATTATCATTATTATTATCATCATAATCGTTTGCCTGAAATATTCGTATTTATTTGTGTGTGTGTGTGTGTGTGTGTGTGTCTGTTTGTGTTTGTATGCACAATAAATTTATTTTATTGTAAAAAAAAAATCGAAGGCAACGACATTATGACGGTTGTACAAACACAACAAAAAGAAAATGGCAACCGACCGAATTCATTAAAAAAGAAGACAAAAAATTATTGTTGTTGTTGTTGTTGTTGTCGTTGTTGCTTTTCTTCTTCTCCTGCTCTCAGAAATCGTCATCTTACGTTAAAATTCAACAAAAGATTTCATCAAAGAGTTTAAAAGTCAAACCATTTTACATTCAACTTTTTTTTCGTTTCGGTTTCCTTCATCATCTTCTTTTTCTTCATCTTCTTCTTTTTTTTAATCTTCTTCATTTTTTTTCGTGGTGAAAAGTTCATCGCACTCTTACAAAACGATCGTCGGGCGAAAACTAAAAAAGAGAGAGAGAGAGAAGAAACGCGATATGACGAAACGTTCGAAACGGTCGGGTTGACAAAAAAAAAGGAGAAAAAAAACCATCCCTAAGGACGAAACGTGAAAAAGAAGAAAAGGAAGAAAGAACAAAGAAGGACGAAAAACGCTGCGGCGTAAATCCCTTTCCCCCCCCCCAAAAAAAAAACAATCGCGAAATTAACGAACGATAACGAATAAAAATAATCCTCACAAATTGTGAATGAATTTTTTTTTTCCTTCCGTTCTTGCTTCTGGAGACACTTCCAAAAAAAAAGCAAAAAAAATTCGTTAATTTATTAACTGGACGTACTCATCATACGTCACGCACACGCACACGCACGCACGCACGCACACACTTGCCCTCCCGTGTTATCCTTTCATCTAATTTAATTTTTCTCCTTTTATTTTTTTTTGCCAAATTTTATTTTTTTTCTTTTTGTTTTTTTTTTTTTTTTTTCAGGTTGAAAGAAGAAGATGAACAGGTAGAGATTACACCTGACTGATAATGCGTTATAATAACAAAAAAATAAAATGATAAAAAAAAAATTCACATTTGACCTTTCGTCTAAGGGTTATCTGTTGTTTTTTTGGTTTTTTCTCACGACATTTTCCCAACGAACCTAAAAAAAAACTCGAAACCTCAAAAACCTTTGCGATAATTTAATCGTCTTTTCTTTGGCACTATGTAATGAGCTTTGACAATCATCTTCATCTTCATCTTCATTTTTTTCTCTCTCTACCTCCTCCTCCCTCCTTTCCTCCCCCCTCTTCCTTTTTCCTTTTAGTTTTCGGCTGTTTTAACTTTTTGAACTTGAAGTTTTCACGTGGTGGGAGGAAGGCGGTGAGGAAGAGGGGAAAGGCGAAGGTACAAAACAGTTGATGATGATGATGATGAGAGGAGGAAGGGGGAGAGAAGGGGGGAGGGGCTTAAAGAAGGAAAAAAAAGAACGAAACAAACGCGAAAGTGATCGAGTTAAAATTTTTTTTTTTACTCCTTCCTTCCTTCTTTTCTTCTTTCCTTTCTCTCTCTCTCTCTCTTTCTTCGTTTCTTCTTCCACGATGTTTTTTTTTTTTTTTTTTTTACTCTTCTACATTCCCATAATTTCCACTTCAACTTTGACTTTGATTATTGACATTGATTTAAGTAAAGTCGCAAACGAAAAGACAAAAAAAAATTTTTTTTTTCTCCCCTCCCCCTTCATTTCAAAATGGCTGCCTCTTAACCGATTAATAATAATAATAATAATTTTCATTTTTTGTTTTCCGAATAATAATTATTTAATGATTGATTGATTGATTGATTTTGCTTGTGTTTGTACAAACGGTATGAAATTGTATTACCGAATTGCGAAAATCTTTTTTTTATTATTTAATTATGGGGGGTCTTCGACGTCACACGATCGTCGTCACGTGTCCAACATCTGCGAGTGGGCGTTTGCGACATTCGTCTAACAACCTCACATCTCTAATCAATTCAACCTCTTCTCTTCTTTTTCTTATTCTTCTACCTTTTCCACCTTCGCCATTTTTTAAATTTCACGTAATTGAAAAAATAAAAAACGATTAGTAAATTCTCCATCAAATTATTATTATCATTATTATTATTATTATTTCTTTTATTTTCGTCGATTCGTCCGTCTTTGTCTACTTTTTTTGATTGCTTCGATCGGTTACGGCAAATAAATTACCGGTAAGTTTTTTTTTTTTTAATACTTTTTAAATAATTTTCTTGCGAAACAACCGAGTGAGTGTCGGCTTTTCAATTGATTGTTTCTTCGAAAACGAATTTCATTTAATGTCATTTAAATCTCGGCTGAGTTTCGAAATAATAATAATAATAATAATCGACACGTATACAACATTAATGACGTTTTTTTTTATGCGGGTCGACGACGACGACGA